TGACGAAAATTTCTTGGTTAGTATGTAAATTTGCAGCTCATTGTTTCTGCAAATTCTGCTTTTCCTTATTGCTATCCTTGAAAGATTAGAGCTGATTCGTAAGAATATAACACAAGACTAGTGATCTATTTGTCCCATTATTTGATTGATAGTAGTACCAATGGAGGTTTTGTGGGAGCGTATTGTTCTACCTCAGTTGCTTCTGACATGAAATGAAAAAAAAAAAACTTTATCTTGAGTTCTACTCTGTGATTGGTGCTATAAGCCAGCTCCATCTGCAAACAGATCTGACAATCACTGATGTCATTATCCAGACACAATAGAAAATGAGACTGATGTTCAATACTTAGAAGACCAGGGTCCCTCATCAACAAGCCCTCATTGAGTAGTGATTTCTGATGGGATATTAAAGAACACTGAGCTTTTTCTAGGTTTGGAAAGTCAGAGCTCACAATCATACAAGCAAAAAATAAACTACTTGTTGGATTCAATGTGTAAGTATAATTTTTGGTCAGCTAAAGAAATGAATGCTTGGTGAGCATGACAAATCATAAACTAAACTAAACTAAACTAAAACAAAAATAATAAATTTTAAATAACAAAGCATTGCAAATAAACATGAAATATTTGGGTTGGATTAGATGCTTTCTATGATCTCTTGCAGATCTAACATAAATTTTCCATAGTGCTAGAAAAATTAGGTTAGTGAAAATTCACAAAAAAGATACAAGTCAAAGTACTACATTCATGTCCTGGAAAATACGTGAAAATATGAGTAAAGGGCATAAATGAGCATGACATCCAGGGTTTTCTCTTTAACTTGTCAAGGAAGCATAACTGTCCCTAAAGACATGTGAAACATTGAAGATAATGTTTATGAGGAGAAGTGAGCAAATGAAGGGGCAAGCCAACGTTAGCATCAGACATTTCTCTCTGGGATGCAAAATAAGTTTGTGTGTCATCAAGGAAATATTTTGTGAGGGTAGGTATGGGTTTAGCCTGACATAAACAAGATCTACTCTAAAGCAAATTTGTTGAATGCCTTCAATGTCTCAGGGAATATAGTTGAGTGACCAGCTATCCCAGTTTGCCTGGGACTGGGGTGTTTCCTGGGATGGGAGACCTTGAGTGATAAAACTGGGAAAATCTCAGGCAAACTGGTACAAGTTGGTCACCTGAGTTATGACAAAACCTAGCAGAAGTCAGATCCCATTGGGAGTACAGCTCCATCACTCCAATCAGTACAATGTATCCCCCTTCTCATTCAATAGCTTGAGAAAACACAAAATAGGCAGATGGAAGCCTCAATTTTCACTTCAAATACAATTACATTGTGTCTCCTGGTAGAAGCCTTCTTCCTTTGGGAGTTAAGACCTCTAAAGCTGTGGAGATCAGAAGCAAAATTTTTGTAAGCAGATTATTAGTTGAATAATGAGAAGAACCACTCTGACTTCTTCCCCTTGGTTTCTGTACCTATACACTCTGTCTGTGGGATTAAATAAAAAAAAGATTTCCACACAATCTATGCCAGTGCCACCTCTCCTTCATTCACACCTATTGTTTCATAAGAAATTCCACCTAATCAAACAAGAAAAAAATTGAGCCTGGTTTGGGGATGCAACAACATGTGGGTACCAGCTGAAGGTAAACTGCTTTAGAATCACAACCCCATTCAGGGGTGGCCCTGGAGAACTATGAGGAGGATAAATTTTCCCAGTGGACAGAAAATCAAGCCATACATCTGGTATGCACTTTTCCTGGAAGGAGAGATGCTTATATATTTACATCTACATAAATTCATGGGCTGGAGGTCAGGGACTTGGAAGGTACAAGATTGGAGAATTGATAACAAGAAGGTTTGGGAAAGAGGCACGTGGATGTCCTCACTTAATAATGGACATAGAATTTAAGGGTATTTCTTTCCCATGAAAATGCTCAGCTAGGGCATAAGATTGCAATTCACTATAATCAGGTAGTCAAGATGGGCCCCTAGGATATACCAATGTCTTTCCTCAGCCAACCTGCAATTTGTTCAGTGAGCTCATAAGTCAGGTGGTAGTAGCGGAGATGGAGCTTACACAGGATTCAAACACATGAACTTCTTCTCACCAAGATTAATCTGTCTACCACCACTGCTAAGTGCCCAGACTACAAACAGCAGAAACCTACACTGAACCCTGGTATGACATCATACACTGGGGGGAATAGCAGCCATCAGACAGCAGGTTGATTTTATTGAACACCTTCCATCTTGAAGGGAGGACTGATTGGTCCTTACTAGAATAGACACTCATTCTAGATATGGATTAATTTTCCCTGCATACAAAGCTTCTGCCATCATCATCTGTCTACTTACTGAATGCCTATTCACTGTCACAGAATCCCACACATTATTCTGACAAAGAGACTTATTTCACAGCAAAAAAAAAAAAAAAAAAGTGAGGCAAGGGATTTACTAGAAGTAGCTGACATTATAGAATAGTTGGAATGGAATGGCTAGTGAAGACCCAGTTTTGGTAACAAATGAGAGACAGAGACAATGTCTTGCAATATTAAGATGCTCTTCTACAAGATGGAATATGTACTCTGAATTGGTTACCAATGTGTATGGCTCTTTTTTTTTTTAAACTCATTTGTGCCTTCAGAACCTTTTTAAGCTAGATCTTACATAAACCACATAAACCATATTTTTTTGATGATGAACAACCTTTCCAATGACAACATTTATGGGTTGATGAGTCAGATTACACCCAATTCACAATAGGCAGCTCAGGTCACCTGGTCGGTTGGTGTTCCACGATCAGGTGCTCAGTTGATTAGAGGATAATGGCATTCAGCATATCCCCAAACCTAGAAGTCTGCACTATGATTCTCCCATTGAGACTTGCCAATGGCTTTACATAGTATCCTCATCTTCACTGTTGGGTCTTCTGGGTCCAGGGCTCAACTGACAAGATGGCACACAGTCCTTAGACCTACTACAGAGTTCCTTCCAGATTTGGGCCCTACTCAAAATTAGCATAACTAGTTGCCCAGTAAATGAGTTAGAGTAGCAGACCCAAATGTGGTATATGTTGCCTCCAGAATCCAAAGATACCCTGATGGTTAATTTCATGTGTCAACTTGAACTGGGCACGATACTCAGATATTTGGTCAAACATTATTCTAGGTGTTTCTGTGAAAGTATTTTTTAGGTGAAATTAGTATTTTCATCGGTTGACTCTGGGTAAAGCAGATTATTCTCCATAAGGTGTGTGAGCCTCATTCAATCAGTTGAAGGCCTTAAATGAGAAAATCTGACCTCCCCAAAAGAAGAGGGAATTTTACCAGCAGACTGCCTTGGGACTTGAATTGCAATGTTCACTCTTCCCTAGGTCTCCAGCCTGCCTGCCCACCTGCAAGATTTTGGACTTGTCAGCCTCCACAATCATGTGAATGAATAGTTTACCAATTCCTTAACATCAATCAATTGCTCTTCTCTCTCTCTCTTTCTCCCTCGCTCTCTCTCTCTCCCCACATGGTTTTATTTCTCTGGAGAATTCTGACTAATACAGATGCCTTTTCCTTAGTGGTAGGCATTGCAAAATGCAGCAATTTGGGCTTTGCTTCAGAATACAGATTATAATATAAGACCAGGGAGGTACTGCAAAGGGACAAGGCTGGAACCCTGAGGAACAGCAACACAGTAGTGACAGAGAAGACAAACTCAAAAACAGACTGAGAAGAAGCTTAAGGCTAGAGAGGAGGAAAAGAGAGGGCAGAAGAGCCATGTGGGTGAGGTCACCAAGGTCAAGGAAAGAGAAGCCTTTTGAGAAGTAATCAGCAGTGTCACATGACAGAGAGGAGTTAGCAGCAGGGAGGTCATTGGTGACTTTGAGGAGAAGCGTTTCAGAGTCAAGTTGTGGGTGCAGAAGCAGGTTACTGGAGTATAAGTAGTGAGTGAATGGGTAGTGACAATACAGTCAAGTAAGTTGCACCTTATCCAATCAATCAAAAACCTGGCTTTGTAGGGGATGGGGTTGATGGGCGGTCTGGAGTTTGAAGGAATTGTTTTCCGCCTCCTTTAAGTGGAGAGATCCTTGAATGCACTAATGGCTGATAGAGACAGAAAGGCTGAAGATACAGGCAGAAAGGGCATTGCTGATGGACTGAGGCCTCTGCGGAGGCCCAGAGGGCTGGCATCCAGAGCTGTGTGTCATGACAGTCAGCCTCCAGAGGAATTATTCTACAGCCTTCACAGAATAATGATTTGTACTGAAGCTTGCAGTCTGTTTATCTTTCTCATAAAATTTCCAAAACAATATATGGAAGTACCAAAAGGTGGTTTTTAAAAATTGTTCACCCAGATCAAAGGAAATTGGTAATTGAAGACATGGTCAGAAATAAATGGAACAAAGCCTGGGAAAGGATAGTTACAGGGTTGTCAAATGATGGAGAAGAAAAACATTGGGCAAGGACTGGCTGGGATCTAAGAGTTATCATGAAGAGCTGAATATGAGCAAGCAAATAGCAGTCTGATTTAAAAAGCAGGCACCATTCTGGAGGACACAAATTTTCAAATGCACGTTTTATATTCAAAACCTAACATGATGCTGTGTATGTTGCAAATATTGCTGACTTGGTTTGATTTCTTGTTACGGATTTGCCCTCACCAGGTCACACTCTTAAGAATTTTGGGCAGCAGTGGTGATGGTTTATGCTGAAATACTCATGTTCTCTTGCCTGATTCCTCAGGCCAAGGTTCATCCCTTCAACTTGGCTGGTTAGAGTGAAGTTTGTACAGGCAACAGTGTGAGAGAGTAATTTTTTTTCTTTATGTGATACTAAGCAGTCTGCATGTTGACCACATTTTTTATTTAGGCCTCATTTAATAGTTAATACTAATCAACTGATCTAACTTAGTAAACAAATAAATCTTGTCACTTAATCTTCTTTTACCCTGCACGTTACTTAGGTCTCTTATTAGTAAAAGCGTAGCATCCACTATTAAAGAGGGCTGTGAAAAATGTTAAGAGAGGATTGCAGAGATGAGGAGAGAACTGAAAAACAAGACCTGGGAATAACTGGATTAGAGAAAGGAGAAAACCACAAGGATGATTTTAACGAACTCTTCATGTATTTATGGAGAAATGGGATCCTCACAAAAGATACAAAATAGTTTAAAACCACACAGATTTTATCCTCACATTTTTCTGTTTCCTGAAAATTGTCTACAACAACCATATGTCTCTTTTGGATTTTTTCCTCAGCATTCTATTGTGAAAAATTTCAAACATACAGAAAAGTTGAAAAACAGTGCAATATACACCTGTACACCTACCTCTTAGACACAACAGTTGCTGACATTTTTACATATTGCCTTTCTCTATGCATATTTTGGCTGGATCATTTGAAAATATGTTATAGACATCATGAGTTTTACTCCAAAATAATTCAACAGGTGTTTCTGAAAAATATGGGTAGTCTATATAATTATATACTGCAACCACATATATTAGTATACCCTCAAAAATTAACAATAGTCCTTTAATATTATCCAATACCCAGTCCATACTTAAATAACTCCAATTTGTAATCAGAATATCTTTTGTAACATTTTTTTGCAAGAGGATCCAATCAAGGATAACTTACCACAGTTCTTTGGTTTGTCTTTTAAAATATGTGATAGTCTCGCCAACTTCATGAGTTAATCTTAAAGTCAGAAAACATAGATATTAAAAACCAGAACATTATCTAAAATTTTTGCATGTTACTTCATTTGGTATTTACAATCATGGTTACAATAAAAATATGCATAGCTTTTAAGAATGGAAGAAATTTTAAAATATTACCTGGATCATCTCTGCATGTGAGTCTCAAGGCGGGTATTTTTTTAAAACTTCCTTCTATTTATTTATTTGTGTTTACCAAATGTTTTTTTTTCAACAATGAATGTGCAGTTAAAACTGTGTCCAAGATTGAATTCAGAACATAGAAGAATTACACAACAGTGAGGGTCAGTAAATATTAAACACTGAAATAGTTGTTTGAAGAAGAATGTTGAATTATATTTAAAGTTTTTAGATAAGAACAATTTCTACCTATCTGGTGGGGATAAAAGTGATTTGGCTTGAGGCGAAAGGAAAGTCCTCAAATCTTCTTTTTTTATGCTGTAAAAACAAGTTATAACCTAGCCTGTTGGCATGTGGGGGGTAGTCTGGTAGACTGGAAGAAGCTTGGATTTTGGAGTTTCAGACTCAGCTTTGCCCCTTACTAGCCATTTGGTCTAGGCAAGTTACCTGATTTTTTGAGCCTGCTTTCTCCACTGTAAAATGAGTGCAATTACATTTTACTTGATTGTTGTTAGCATTACCAATTACATACATTATATGAAAAGTAGCTAATATAGTAGTTATCATTCAGTATAATTAAGGTTGAATGTCTTTTTTTATGTTGAGTAAGAACATGTAATAAGGTGTTTGTTTATAATAAAAGTTATATACCATTTTATAGTTTAAAAATATTTAAAAATACATAATCTCATTTAATTCTCACACTAATCCTTTGAGCCAAGTGTCTTTCTAAAATTGTAGTATATTTTATTGTACTATAAATAGCAATGGGAATGAATGATCTACAACTACATACAGCATGGATGGATCTCACAAATACTGTTGGCTACAAAGCCAGACTCAAAGGAGTGTATATTGTATGGCTTTATTCATATAAAATTCAAAAAGGCAATATTTAATTATATATTCACAAGTCAAGATAGTGGAGAGGAGGGTGGAAGTAGTAACTGAAATGGTATACCAGGGGACGCCTTCTGGAGTGTTGCCAATTTTCTGTTTCTAGACATGGTTTAGTAATGCTTCACTGATTGATTGATTGATTTTTTAATTGAAGTACAGCAGATTTAGCAATGTTGTGTTAGTTTCTTGTGTACAGAATAGTGATTTAGTTATACATATAAATATTCCTTTTCATAGTCTCTTTATTATAGGTTATTACAAGACATTGAATTAGTTCCCTGTGCTATACATTAAGATCTTGTTGCTTATCTAGTTTACATATCGTAGTTAGTATCTGCAAATCCCAAACTCCCAATTTATTACACCTTACCCCTTTCCCCTTCAGTAATCATGTTTGTTTTCTACGTCTGTGAGTCTGCTTGTTTTATAAATAAGCTCATTTGTGTTATTTTTTTTAGATTCCACATATAATGACATCATATTGTATTTTTCTTTCTCTTTCTGACTTACTTTACTTAGTATAATAACATCTAGGTCCATCCACATTACCACAAATGGCATTATTTCATTCTTTTATATGGCCGAGTAGTATTCCATTGTATGTATACTCCACAACTTCTTTATCCAATCATCTGTCAATGGACATTTAGGTTGTTTCCATGTCTTTCCTGTTGTATATAGGGTGGCTATGAATGTTGGGGTGCATGTATCTTTTTGAATTAGAGTTTCCTCCAGATCCATGTCCAGGAGTGGGATTGCTAGATCACATGGTAAGTCTATTTTTAGTTTTTTTAAGGAACCTCCATACTGTTTTCCACAGTGGCTGTACCAAACTACATTCCCATCAACAGTGTAGGAGGGTTCCCTCTTCTCCACAGCCTCTCCAGCACTTATTGTTTGTGGCCTTTTTAATGATGGCCATACTGAACTGTGTAAAGTGATACCTCAGTGTAGTTTTGATTTGTATTCTCTGATAATTGTGAAGCAAAGTACTCTTATCTTTAATTAATGAAAGAGGAAATGAAAGGTCTGAGAAGTGAAGTGACCTGTCCAAAGTCACAGAGCAAAAAGGAGCAGAGCTGGGGAACAAAACTAGGTTCTGTGATTGCAAATTCAATATTTAACAGAAATCCTTAGAAGGAAGCATATAAAATCATGAAATCAAGAATCAAAGATCCTTTAAAGATTTTTTCTTTCAATTGCTTGATGTACTTGGACAAAATGTATGTATTTCAATATTATATTTTTTTGGTTAGAAGAGTTTACCTAATGCTGGCTGGCAGCCAATTTAATATTTCTGATTTAATTTAGTGTTATCTTTATGCTCATTATTTATGCTAATGACAAAAAGATATAATAAGTAAGGGAATCCTATACATAAATTAACACTCACATTTTATTTTTATTTTATTTAAATTTTGTTGGGGGGGAGGTTATTAGGTTTATCTATTTTATTTTTTAATGGAGGTACTGGGGATTGAACCCATGACCTCGTGCATGCTAAGCATGCACTCTTGCCACTGAGCTATACCCTCCCCCTGAAAACTCACATTTTAATTGTTTGTACATCTAAAAGTTTATACTTTGGGAGTCAACGTAGTGCAGTGGCACATGCACAGGAGTTGGAGTCAAACAGATCTGGGTTCAGGTGCTGGTTTTTGAACTGTGTCGTTGAGCTAGTTAGTTATTCAGTGCAAGCTAGTCCTACAGTATTAGCACTAGTACTATAGGGTTGTTTTGATGATTCTGTGTGCTAATGTATGTTAAACACAGTGCATGTGCAGAATGAATACTGATTCCTCTTTCCTCATTTAATCTATCAGTTTGCAATCACTCGACAGCCTTTGAAGATAGGAGACATGAAGGTACCTTCAATAATGTTCAATTATGTTACAAAGAAGCTTTACCTTCCTGCTTATTTCTGCACAAATTTCCCTTGAAAGTTCCAGTGATGTCTCAGACCTGGAATCTTCCCTTTACTTTTAATTCTTGGGATTGTATGGGCAAAGTGGAAATTCCCTTCTGCTTAAATGAGACTCTAAGATTTCTTGCAGCTATTTAGAAATGGAAGAAAAATGTTCTGTTTAACTATTATTGCACAACAAGCCATCCAAAAATCATAAAGATTATATAGGGTCAGAAATTCAAGGAGGGCTTGGCTGGGTGATTATTTAGCTCCATGAAGTACAGACTGGGATCCATTGGTGGTATTTAGCTTGTGGCATGGATGGTCTAGGGTTCTAGAAGTCTCCATTCATGTCTGGCACCTTGGTGGGGACAGATGGAAGGCTGGGCCCAGCTAGTTCCTTCTTTCTCCCCAAGTAGTCTCAAGGCCTGTCTAACATGGTCTCTCCAGCAAGGTAGTTGGACTTTCCCACATGGCAGCTTAGGGCTCTAAGATCAACAGTTCAAGAGACAGGAAGTGGAATTGCCCGTCTCTTATAATCTGCGCCCAGAACTTGGCACAGTGTTACTTCTGGCATATCCTACTGGTCACATCAGTCACAGAGCCCTCCAGGATTCAAAAGGAGGGGACACAGATCCCACCTCTCCATGCAGAGTGGCAAGCAATGTCTGGTCACCTTTAGTCCATTATGGAATCACTCAAATGCCATATGCTTGAAGAGACTACACGTCAAAGGGGAACAATGCAGACTTCTCATAAGCAGTTATGTGTCAGATGCAACTGTAGATGTTTTTATGAACTCCCCGACTCCATTATTTGGGTGGAGAAGATGGACCTGGAATCTTCCCTTTACTTTTAGTCCTGTGAAATGCTTCCATTATACTTTCACCTCTGCCATCCCTGAAATGGTGGAGTAGAAGATGTAATCTGTAATTCATACATTATTCAAATCTCTACATAACTCACCAGTTCTGGGAAGTCTTCCCTAGACAAAACAGGAATAGCCGGCTTTCTCTCTACCTGCTGAAGAGATGTGTACTATGTGACTTTAAAACTTCTCCAAAATTCAGAAAAAGAATTCTTACATGCTAAAAGTCAGAAGGCAATCTCCAGTAAATTGTACTTTGTTAAACTGAGACAGAGAGAGAGAAAGACAGAGACAGAGAGAGAGACAGAGAGAAAGGAATATTATCTAGATAACAGTGCTACACTTAATCATTTTCAATAAAATTTAATTTCTTAGTTGTTAAAACTAGAGATACTTCAGATGTTGGAAGTGCTAATCCTTTTTTTTTTTAAGCAAGTTAGTTGCTGCTTCAGTAACATTAGAGGGTAGTAAGCAGTAACCAAGGTTAATTTTATCTTAGGTTAATTATATGTGTTAATTATAGTTAATGATAATACATTATATTATACTTCAAAACTTAGAGGGCAGATCTTAATTCCTAAAAGAGCTTATCATGTATAACAGTCCTAGTAAATCTTTCTGTATGGATGTGAATAAATAGAAAGCTTATAAAGAATGAAGCATTCAGTCACTTGCCTTTTAAAAAGTCAAAGTCCAATCACTCAGAGAAGTTGAAAGAACTGATATATTTATGCTTCTTTGCTTCAAACTATGGAAAATACCACAAAAATAAATAAAATATTATCACAAAAATAAGTGATCCCTCACTACCAGAAGTGGTATATTTAGAGTAAAAATGTCTCTAAACTCCATTTATTTACTTAAGTCAGAAAAGAAATTTTTTATTCTAACCTAAAACCTGCTTTAGTATCAACCAGAGGAAATCAGATGATTGTTTGTAGGCTAATCAAGAATCCTTAAACTCCTTTTTGGAAATGATATATTTTCCTCTTTGTATTAAGAAACTAATGGCTTCAGTGAAGCTGGATCTTTAGGCACACGCTCAGGAGAAGCCAGCGGTTTAGAGATAGATTGCTCTGAGGGCCTTGAAACCACTGAGGTGCTGAGTAACTCTACTGAGAAAGAAAAGAGAAGGCAGCCCTTATGGAGTTAAAATAAGACAGAGAATGCTTCATTGGAGAACACAGTGGCTGAAGACTGGCAGAATTCTCAACATCTCAGGCTACCACATACTGTTCAGTTTTCATTTGTACTTTGGAGGTGTTCTAGAAAGCTTAGACAAAAAAAAAGAGTAAGATATAAATATATAGTACGTTTTTAGCCAGCCCATATAAAGGAAACTGTCGCTGTAGGAACTGTTCTGATATTCGTTACTTAAAGACTTCTCTTATTCCCCTTTGTCAGGATGTAGGGGGAGGTGTTAGGGATGGGTCCTAATTTTATCTCTATACACACCCTTAAAGCGTTTGAATCATTCTGAGCTCTCATAACATTTGCGGAGAGCTTGGAGTGTTTTGTATATGTTCTGGGCAATGGCTGGCATTCTGCGAGAGACTGATAAGCAGTAAGTGATAATAATCGACACGTCTTATTTGCCAGTGGACCAGGAAGATCGCCGTCATTCAGCAAAGAGCAAACTAACAAGCAGGAATTCTGGCCAACCTCTCCTTTCCTCTGCATTTTCTAGTTATTCGCACAGGCTTAATCTTAATGAATGACCACCAGTTGGCAGACACAACAGCTTCATAAAATTTGCACACAACTTATTTGGGTTGGTTTTTAATTTCTGTTTTTGAAGCCAGGGTTGCCCCAAGTAGAATTCAGAGAGAAACTCTGGAGACAGAGAAGTGAAGATTTCCTTTTCTAGTGACTTCTGGGGAGAAATCTGGGACGGGCAGGGTGAAATCGCACACTATTTGCCTAAGGTTAAAACAAAAAAAAATTCCAGTCTGAGGGGCCAGGTGGTGCTTCGGTGGGAGGGCTACGCAAGACGAAATCAGGTTTGGGGGAAGGAGAGAGAGCACGGGGAACGCGTGAAGGGAATTCCGCCGCGCCTCCGGCCCTGGGGCTCCCACCCTTCACCTAGCTTCGGGACGTTATCTCGGGAGGAAAGCCCTGGAATCCCGAGCCGGCGGGACGCTGGGACTTACCCCGAGCGGGTGGGCGAGCAGGCGGGCGGGCGCGAGGGGGCGAGGGCGAAGGCGACGACGCCTGTCCCTTTAAGGGGCCGGTCTCCGGGCACCGCCGGCCCA